AATTAATCAGGCCTGTCTATTACCTAGAGCATTTATGTACCAAATTTTATTCAAATGTGATGATCAGTAATTGAGATATCAGTGTTAATTAATTATATTAATTAGGTGATTAATAAGCATAAATATTTACCAAAAACTAATTGGGTTTCTGCATAGTTCTCTTTAAAAGTTTCATTAAAATCCAATTTGTGGTTCTTTATATATCAGTGGAACATTATGCAAATTAGGTAATTAATAGCCAATTAAAACTAATCAGGTGTCTGCATAATCCTAGAAGATCTATGTAGCAAGTCTCATTGAAATACGATGATAACTACTTGATATATCAAAAGCTGAAAATTAATTAATTATGCAAATTAGGTAATTAATATGTACTTATATTACCCTAAAAACTATCAGATTTGTGCAGTGTCCTATGACATCTATGTACCAAGTTTTATTGAAATGTGATGATTACTACTTGAAATATCAAAAGCTGAAAATTAATTAATTAAGCAAATTAGCTAATTAATATATACTTATATTACCCTAAAAACTATCAGATTTGTGCAGTGTCCTATGACATCTATGTACCAAGTTTTATTGAAATGTGATGATTAGTACTTGAGATATCAGTGGAAAAGCCGAAAATTGATTAATCATTATGCAAATTAGGTAATTAATATTGCACAGATTTTTACCCAAAACTAATCAAATCTGTGCATTAGTTTGGAGCATCTGTGTGCCAAGTTTCATCAAAATCCAATGAGTGGTTCTTTAGATATAGAACCTCGTGCGTGTCATCCATTTTTTCGTTTGTAAATAGCGGCTTGCCAAAGGTCACCGACTGATGGCGCCCCCTTAGCCCGTACTAATGACTGGCCCTCCCTGTGCGTGGACGCAATTGGGTCTAGCCAAAATGCAAATATGCTAGATTATAAGATAAGCCTAAATCTGCTTAAAGGGGAACTAAATAGAGCCTGTTTGTATTTATCAAGTTATGTATATTGATTATAAATTTGAAAAAAAAAAAAAAAAAAATGATTATCTTCAGAGTTATGATGATTTAAATATGAGAAACCATAAACCTGCGAAGGACTTCCGTTTGCGCCATCTTGCCATAAAACAACGCCCTCATGAGTATAAACAGGTAAGGCAACAAAGCATGATGACGA